AACACCTTTTTAAGTGCACAATACCTACTGTTACTTGTCGGCACTGTGCTGCAGTTTCTGGAATGTACTCATCTGGTACATGTGAACCTTATACCCACAGGACAACCACTCCAGAGTGGTGTGGTGGAAGAGCACTGGACCTACAACTCAGAGGTTGATGGACTAAGCCCTTATTTAGGGAGAAAAAAAACTGGCTTAGAGAGGTTAGGTGACTTGCTCAGTCATAAAGCTATTAACTGGCAGAGCTAGCACTAGAACCCAGGACTCTAGGCTTTAAATTCAGTGAATTTTTTGGACTAAATTGTACTATGTTTTTATGACTAAACACTATGTTTTTCAGAATCATGTTATAATAAAATTCAAGCTGAATGTGTCTGTAAAAATGTACCACTTCCTTTCTGTAAGGCTGTGGATCTCATATTCAGCTTAGCCAAGCCTTCCATGTAAGGAACCCCTGGGTCACCTTGGACTCTTTCCCACCCCCATTTCCCCAAATCTGCTCCAGCAGCAAATTCTGTCTCTTCTGTTTCAGTCTCTTAAACCTTGCACCCACTGTGCATTCCCACCACCACCACCTTAGTCCCGCCTTGTAGCATCTTAGTCCTGACTTTTACCATCTTTCTAGAAATCATTCACTGTCTCTCATTCTTAGGTTCTGAGATAAAGTCACAATCACTGATCTAAAAAAAAAAAATCATAGTCCACTGGGGGAAACAGAAAAATTAACATTTACAACACAGTGTAGCAACAGATGTCAGCAGTATGTAATGGGGGTGGTATGCAGTGGAGGGGTGCTTAACCCAGATAGGATTCTCATAGGAGGGGACATCAGACTGGATATTGAAGGGCAAATGGAAGCCAGCTGGAAGACAGAGATGGAGAAGGGCTCCCAGACAAAGAATGCAGCCACAGCACAGGGGTGAATGCACACTCAGTGAACCAAAAGAAGCTTCAAGTGGCTGCAATTGGAGTGTTGTGAGAAATAAGCCTGGAGCGTTAGACAGAAGCCACCAACAAAGCAATTTATATGACTTTACCCCAGTGCACTTACTTTTAAAATTGACTTTTTTTTTCATTTCATATTTAAATATTTCAGGATATATCTCTAACAGAGTAAGGGCATGTTCGCTCTCTATTTTTTTTAAACATAGCCAGAATATCATAAAATGTCTTAAAAATATTAACAATTCCTCAATATCATTGAATATCCAGGCAATATTCAAATTTAAAGTTGTACCAAAAGTGTAATGAATGTTTTTAAATTTGTTTATTTGAATTGAGATCTAAATATGAGCCACACATTGCAACTGGCTCGTATCTTTTTAAGCCTCTCTTTTTGTATGTGATTGTGTGTGTTCTAATACTTTATATGCATCATCTCATTAAATCCCTACATATCTCTTCATTTTGCAGATTAGAAAATGAAGGTACATAACTGCTCACAGTCGCATTCCTGGTGACAGGCAATCGGATTCCAGGGCCTTACACACTGTGCTATGTAAGCTCTACGAGTAGTAGAGCCCTAGAAGGTGGTTTACACGTCGGAAAAAGCTGCAGTGGGAAGACCTAACGTGGAAAGTATGCATTTTCCAGCAGGTAAACATGATCCATCCTCAGGAGTCATACCACCAACCCCTCAGCTGATTCTATCCTTATTACTAACACTTTCAGAATTTCAGAGTTGGACATGACCTTGGATATCACATGGTCTAACCCCATCATTTAACAAATAGAAAAGAAAAATAAAGACTCACAAGGCTGGGAACTGACTGAGCCTAAGTTATTCAGCTCCTCAGAGCTAAAGAGGAGACTAGAAAAGTGGAGTACGAATATCCTCACCCTGAGGACAATATTACATTTCCTTTCATCTGCAATCTTCTTTCTCCATTTTTTTTTCTTACAATTTATTTGATGAAACTACTGGGTTTTTCTGTAATTGGTCCCAGTTTGGATTCTGTTTGTATCCTTGAGGTGTAGTTTATATGTTCTCTTAAAATGGAACTTTTACAATGTAAAAAAAAAATGAATATGCTATTGTGAAAATGGAGTAAACAATTTTTATTATTTTCACAACATTTAGTTATTAAAACAACATGCTATACTGCAAAGCTTTCTAAGTGAGATTAATTTACCTAGCTCTAAATGACTTTTGGCTTTATTAAAAATGTCAATTTGATCACAAATAAATTACTAAAAATAATTCTGTGTTGGAAAAAGAAGATTCATAATACATGGCTCTTGTGGGTTTTATTACAAGAGAATGAAAATGGTCTCCACATACACTTCCTGGAAGCAATAGCTATTTATACACAATTCATTTGTTACTTTTTCTGCTCAGCAATGCATTATCTTGAGGTCTCTAAGAGCCTATAAAGAGATTTGTGCCTTGTACTCTCTCCTTCCATATCAAAACTGTGCAAAATCAGTACATTCCTTATATTACTCAAAGTTTTATTACTCTAAATCTATGAGGTTAAGAACAGTATAACTATACTTTAGGTGGCTTTAATCATCATTTTCTCATAATGCATTCACTGGGGACACCAGTAAAGAACAGTGTTAAAGTTATATTTTTAAATACCAATAAAATCAGTTTTATAGGGTTATGTGAAAAATATAAGGAAAATGATCATTAATTCGTAACACCTTTTCAACACTTAAGAGTTGCCCGACAGTCAGCTCTTTGGGAGAAAGGATTTGTCTTTCACATTATGGTATTTCCTACAGAAATAAGCAAAATAGCTTACAGTCCTACTAGATGCCTAATAAATACTTGTTCAGTTTACACAAACAACAACGGAATTTATGACCCTAAACAATTATGGGAGAATTTAGCCTTAAATATTAATGAATTCCTTCTCTAAATATTTATTTTCACTTATTGTGTGTCAGGCACTGTGGTAGACACTAGATGATAATTCAAAACCATGCCTAGGTTTTTCCTACTTTTAACAATTTTTAGATTATATAACATTGGATATTCTTTGGGCTCCTCAAACCTCAAGAACAGAGAAGTGGGTAGCAGCCATGATAAACTCATGGAAAGAAAGCTGCAACTGGGTTTTACTACAGGGAGAAGAGAATATACTTGTTGTAGGGGAGTTGAGAACCACAGGGTCTTCAAGGATGGTGCCCCAGTTTTATTCATCCTTGTATTCCTAGCTCCTGGCTGAGTACCCGGCACATGTGCAGTGCTCAGTGCCAAAATGTGGGTATAACCAAGAACAATAGCAGCTAACATTTACTAGGTGCTTCCGCTGAGCTAGGGAGGCACTGTTCTAAGCACCTTGCAAGCATTATTATTTTATGGATTTTAACTTAAGGGAAGAGTATGGATTCTGAAGCCACATTGCGGGGATTCAAATCTGGCCTCTCCCACTTATAGCTGTGTAATATGGAGGGAAACAACCTACCTTTGTAAAATGGCTGTGAGGAATAAATGAATTAGGATTTGTTAAGCCTGTAAAACAGCTCCTGGCACATAGTAAGTGCTATTTAAGTGGCAGCTATTATTAGATCATTTAATCCTCATCACAACCTTATGAGGTAGGTTATCCCATCCCCATCCTAAAAATGAAGACCCTGAGCAACTTGAGAAAGCAACTTCCCTAAGTTTATGCACCTAACATGGTTGAGCACCCAAGTCTGTGCTCTCTTACTTCTTGCTGTAAGCTACCTCTCAGGAGGGACAGGTCCTCCACGTTTCAGGGGCAGCCTCACAGTGACAGGGTGATAACCTAAGGTTCGTGTTTTTTATAGCATCACACAGAAGAATGTCAGTCTTAGCAGCTTGGTAGGTTATTATCTTAAGAGAAAATATAGAAGGAAGATTCCCCCAACACCCACCCCCGACCCTTTGTATTTAAAGACTTCAGATCTGCCTGGAAGAATGGAGCTCACTATTTTCCATACCTTATTCAAGTCTTTTTCATGATTTGGTTGGTCTGGGGTTACTGAAAACAGCTCTTTCCTTTTCTTTTCTGATTCATTAATAGAAGGTGAATAAGATGACTGTAGTCTACAAATTCAAATGAGTAAAAATTAAGTTTAACTTGATAAATTTTAGTATTATATAGTTAATTTACTCTATTGTAGGTTGCAGAGATAGGTTATTCGTTTGTTAGAAACATTTCTAGTTTCAGAAATTGCAAGTTCTAATACATTCAGATCCCATAAGTATTTACATATTTAACTAAGTGAAAATGGTTTTAGCAGAAAAAAATAAAATTAAAGCTAGCAATTAGTATGGAATTTCAATTATACATTAATACTGGGTTTGCATATGTAGATAAGACGCTTGGGTAAGAAGAAAAGGCTGTTTCCTGTAATAAAATAACTTGGGAACCCATTAAAAAAGGAAATACACCTGACTCGCTTCTATATCATGGAAAAGAACTATGTCAGGGGAAGTCTGGGGGGAGCAACCGCTCCATAAAAGTGTAGCAGTGATTGAATCTGACAGTCTACCCATAGAGAGCTCAACTACATCTATTCTTTGGCTGTTCAATTTATAAAATGGAATTGCAACCACACATGGATGCTAGAGAGGAAAGGCAGGAGCTAGTATAAAAAGTACAATTTCCACAGGAATTTTGAAGTTTAAGCAGGTAACGTTCACTTCCGCATCAAGGAAGTTGGTAAAATAAAAAACATTAAAACAGAAAAATAAAGGTAACGAGGCAAAGAAAGCAGAATGTGTTTTATTGCTTGACTAATCTGGTAGAGTCCAGTGTTTTAAGGAATGTACCCACTTGTAAGTGAATACAATTTTAGATTTCCAAAGAACTTTTTAAAAGGTTCCACAAATCAAAACCTTAAACCACACAAACAAAACAAAATCTGAGTAATGATAGAGAAATAACTGTCAAGATGAAAAATAAAGGAATCTTTTACAAAGGGTAAATTAACAGTGATATCCATGAGGTACATGTTATCTAGGCTGCACTGTGTTTTTTTGTTATTGTTTTTGCTGTTTTTAATTGCCAAATATATGTGTTAACTGTAGAAAACAGAGTATAGAAAAGTATATACTGCTGTAAAGTCCTCCAGGAAAAACCACTGTCAGCATTTTTGTGTATATTGTCTTTTTTTCCTATGCATGTGTATAAATACATACACATTTCCCATAAAATCAGGATCTACTGTATACATTATTTGTCAGTCTTCTTTTGTTTTCCACTCAGTAATATATTGTGAGCATTTTACCCAGTATTCTCCTAAACTATTATTTCAGGATCAGTCTTAAATTTTTCTTATTTGTATGATTTGGGAGAGGTCAAAATGAAATTTCCTTTTTTTTTCAATTCTTTCTAAGCAATTTCAGGGAGTGGAATGCTGAGTTGAATGGTAAAAACCTCAAGATGATTTTGTAAATTTAAGTGAGTGAATGGAACAAATGTCAAACTTCAATGTGGACAAGTTCATAAAAGAAAATAATAGTCATGCTAATGTTCAATGCTAACATAAATAAATAAGAGAACTGTCATTTTTCATGTAGGAAAAGAGTGCTGGAATTATTTTTAATAACTGTCAGAACATAACAGCCCAAGGTGCTTCCACAACCAAAGTAAGGAAAAAGCTAACAAAATCTTAGCGTTATTGAGAAAGTTTCTGATAGTGAATAAAAACATTACAATGCTACTTCTATAAAACCATTGTTCATCTACACTCTGTAGTCTGGGCTGTTTCACCTTACTACAACTATAAAGAAAAAACAAAGTCTGAATAAAAGAGACCAAAACAATATAAAAGATAGAGCCACATTCATATGAAAACTAAAATTAGAAACTTTCAATGGGAAAGGTGAAGGCAGAGAAGACTATGTTCAAAGTCTAAAATACAATAGAAGCTGTGAAAAGTTAAATATCTTTTCATCAAATCTCAGAATACAGAACTGAGCCAACAACCCCCCAATGTAAAAGATGTAGTTTGAAGACCAAAATAAATACCAGCTTAAATAGAGGTTGGCAACCAGGCACAACAAAAGAGTTGTATTGGCCAAATATGTGAATAACTGCAAGATTTTAGATTAAATCATGTATCTAAGGAAAGCTGGCAATGTTTGGAATTCAGCATTGGCTTTGTGAGATAACGCCATAGAAATTACCTACAATGCTCTTCAAAAAACTGGAATGAGACATAGTTGAATGGTTTGCTCTTCTAGGAAATTTATGTTTCTAGGCATATACATTCTTTGTGCGAAGACATTTCTTAACTCACCACACTGGAACAGTACCTTGCACATAATATAATTCTAATAGATTTATTAATGATTTGTGGTGATGATATATAGCTTGTATACAGAGCACTCAATAATGTTGACTGGCTAATAGGTATTCTACCATCATTGCTGAGACAGACAATAGGTCATTTTTAAGAATCTTAATTTGTCATTTGTTGTAAAGGGCAGACCTCAAGGAAATGTTAGCAAGTCCCACAACTTTGAAGAAATAATTATTACCTTTAAAACAGTATACTCATCTTTCAATAAATATCCCTCACTACTGGCTATTCAATTTTTTAAATCTTATCATTAGTCTAGCATTGACCTTCAGATTTGAAAAGGATTCAAGTTCTAATGAATCAGTGAATGGTTAGAAGAGTCACACTGTCTATTCATAAGTATAAACATTTAATAATCATCAGAAGTCTATTTCCTTTGTGGTTATGGAGTATGCAATATCTATCTGATTTTAAAAGAGGAAAAAAAAATATTCTAACAAAACCTTTCATGGAACTGCCAAGGTGGTGAATGAGGAGGCCAAAATAAATACAATATTTATAGGTGAAAAGCTTAATAACAGGTTTACAGGCAATCAAAATAAAAACGTTAGAAAAATATGGAATAAATCTTACTTATATTTATATATGTATAATGAAATACTGGCTCTATAGTATTGTTTTACAATATTCTGAAGAATAAAAGTTCTAAGAAAATTTCTGACTCAGTATGACACATAAGTATCCATAAATCAGAACATGATATAATTTTCTAGGTAAGTAAAGATGTTAATTTTGAAGATAAAATAATCACTAATTTTATTTTTAATATTGAATATTATCTAATAATTAACATGTTAATACAAAACAAATAGACTTTTAATTCTAGTTTCAAATATAAAACTTAAAAAAGTCAAACATCATGTTTTGAACAGTTTCTCTCAGGTTGTGAATATAAAGAATATACCTTTTTATATTTTCTTGAGCGTTTTGGCAGTCTCCTATTTTTAATAATTCTCTGTGCAACTGCAATCGTTCCATTTCTATAATTCTCAAGAGATCATCACGTGACTGTAACTCACTTTTTACCTCTGAGAGTCCTACTTCCATGACCTAAATAAAAACATCAAAAATTTTCAATGCTCATATTTGGATATTATGATGTATAATACATTTAAAAATATTTCACATCTATGAACCAGCCTAATTTCAAATGTACTAATATTTAGTCCTTTGCTGACTGTCTCACAGAATTTCCTCCCTTCATTTATTCAACACATATTTACTGAGTTCTTTTTTTTTTTTNTAAAATTACACTGATGGTAACCACTTTGAGCACCTCTTGTAATTGCAGAAGTCAAATGTGACTTGTATTCATTTTTTGTTATTGGTATATATTGACTATTACAATTTCAATACAGTTTTTTCCTTTCTTAAAATGTGTATACATTTTTTTGGCACCCTCTGTATATAAGAATATAAAGATGAAAATAAAAATTCATAATCCAATTACCCCAGATCACTGTTAACATGTGTAAAATATCCTTTCCTGTACAGGTGCAACCAACACTACTCTCCCATTTATGCTATTTTCTTGTGTATTGTACAATATAATCACAGTGTAAGGCTTATAATTGGGGAAAGGCTGAATCTTTTCTTGTATTTATAGTACACAGGATTTAAATAGCCATATTATTTCTGAAGTGACCTTCAAATACCTAGAAAGTTATTGAATAGTGCTCTCAAATCCTTTAGATTTGGGGTTAAAAAAAACCAACCAGATAAATCCTATGCTTTCAATAGCAAATCATCAATTTGATAATGAATAAGGGATGAAAGGGAATTTCAAAATAAATGGGAGGGAGGGAGCAAGCGAAGGAGGGAGGGAAAGGAGGGAGGTAGGGCTTATAAGCGACTTGCAGTATTTTAACAGTAGAATGTTATAATTGCTGACTTTCTCCATGAACCATGCTGCGCATTGAGGCAATGTTTAGTAAATGTTTCAACATCTGTTTTTTAAAACCCTAAAATAGATATATAAAGCGGGCAGGGGAGGTATCTATGAAAGACTGGAATAGAGGTTTTTTTTTTAAACAGATAAACATGTTAATGAAAGGGAACGACAGGCAAATTCAGGAGGAAACTTTGACTAGAGCACACTGTGGGAGGTGATCAAACTATGGGTCACAAGATAATGTTAGGATGAGACTGAATGAGATTATCTTGCACTGTCACTTATTCCCCTGGCTCTTTTTTTATGACACTTTGAATTATGTCATAAAGGTTTTGTGTGATTCCACAAAACATTTCTGTCATGCCAGTCTCAGATGTAATACCAAGAAATGCAATGCTTTTATTAGTCAATAATGAAAGCTGCTCTCTGCATTGAGCAAATGAGTGACTGCGACAGGTGCTGTCCTGCCCGCTTGCATACCTGTTGTTTTGCTAACATTTTTTCTTTTATTTCTAACTCCGTTTTTAACTGTCTTTCCAGAAAGGCAGCTTTCTTCATGATAGTTGCTATAGTGATCTCCTTCTGATGAAGCTCCTCTGTGAGGTCAGATATTTCATTCCTCATTCTTTCCTGCTCAGAGCTAAGGTGCTCTTCTTCCTGATGGAGTTGGCTTCTTATCTGCAGCAGATAGATTCCAGAAAATATTCACAAATCCTTTTATTTAAAAAAGCAGCTTAAAGCTTTTATTGGTCAGGTTCAGTCTTCCTATCCTATCTTAAAATTTTGGCAGGCCCCACTTGACCCTCTCTTTCTTCTCAATTCTCAGTGAAAAACACAGGCATATAATAACGATTCATTTATTTTTCCCATCCGATTTCAAGTTTTCATTTCTTCTAGTTTTCTTACTAGTTTTCTAGTGTATGCAAATCATCACCTACTACTGATACTGCTTTAATAGCTACTTTGACAGGGAGGTGGAGAAAGTATTCTCAAGCATTTCCCCCCAGATTTACTGAAATAAAATGGGTATATAAGAAAACTGCACATAATTAATGTACACAATTTTGTGAGTTTAGACATACACTCGTGCCACGACCACCACAATCAAGGTAATAATCATATTCATTACGTCCAAATATTTCCTGTGTCCCTTTGTCATTTAAAGNTAAAAACTATATATACTGTATAGAAGTTAGAGGAGCCTTATTATTCAAGGAAGGAACTTCAGAAGCTATAAACAAAAATATACATGTTTGACAAAAGTTTAAAACTTCTTATATAGCATAAGATATCATAAATAAAATTACGAACAGCAAATTTCAAAAAGTGCTGTTATAAATTGACAAGAAAAAGACAGCCCAATAGAAGAATGAGCAAAGACTATAACTAATTCATAATACATTGCCAAATAAATATACAAAAAATACTCACTATAGTCAGGGAAATGCAAATTAAAGTACTATTGAGAAATCACTTTACACCCATCAGACTGAAAAAAATTTAAAAGCGATAACACATATTGCTAGTAAGGGTGAAAGAAAAAGGTAGAAATATGATTTGATAACAAATGTTTTAAAATTAAACATATATATCCTTTGAATCAGTAATTCCATTCTTAGGAAGGTATTTCAAAATATATGTAATAAGGGTATTTTACAGTATTGTTTATTTGTGCAAAAATCTAGAAACCGAGTTGAATTAATTATGAATAAATTAATTCTGAAAAATAGTTGAATAAATTTTGATATAGTCACATCATGGGATATTATTAAGCCATTATGAGAAACGAAGCAGAAGACCTAAACCAGCTGACTTGTAAGGATCTGCAGAGGATATTGTTGAGTGAACAAAAACAAGAGAAGTGTGTATAATGTAATCTAATTTATTTTTAAAAAGTTAAAACCCCTAAATAGGTATATGACTACATACATCTATGTGTATGTATGTATATATGTACATATATTCACACATAAGTGAATTCATATATATGAAAAAGTACAAAATGATACATACTGAATAGTTAACGTGTTATCTGGCAGATGGGGTATGAGGTGGCATAGAGAAATGGCAGAAAGGAGAAGGGGAGAAGCAGGAAAAGAAGTGACTGCTAAAATAGTGAGTTTGTAAGTTATGATTCAATTCATTAAAAATTATATATATTTTACATACGTATGTATTTTTTCCTAAGAAACTAGGAAAAATAAAAAGATATTTTTCTACTTACTTGTAGACATGTCCATGATATATAGTCAAAGGCAGTTTAGAATAATGTATATAGTATGCATTTATTTCTATAAAAGAACACGCAACTCATCCCCTGTATATGTGTGCACAAACAACAAAAAAGTTATAAAATGATACACACTAGTTTGTCAGCACTGGATTCTCTGGAGTCCAAACTAGGACTGGGGATAGACGTAGGGATACTTAGCTTCTTCTTTACACATCTTATGTGTTTTATTTCTTGAAAAAACAAAAACAAGTGAATGAATAAAGCCAAATGCCTACAAGAGTAAGGATGAAACAGGCTCAGTGGGGGCTGTGATGACACAGAATACGCACCTAAAAACATTCAGATAGACATTTTTAAAAATAACATAAAACCATTTTGTGAGAGAAAAAAGGACACATATGGGGACACATATAGGATCCAATTTAACTTTTTGTGTGTCCTGTGTTTGGAAATAAAAGTCCTAGGTGTCAGCCAGATTTTGTGTAACAGACAGGGAAGCCACGTATACTTTGGTGTTTTATCCATATGTAGTACTCGTTTCATAGAACATAACTGGATCCAAAGAAGAAGACAGAATGCTTCCAGAATGCTTCTACTCTTTGATATTAGCATATGGACTATTATGAGGACAAGTACATACTATTACAGAAATACATATCATGGCTTAAGAAGGCACCATGGAGAATGCCAAATCCATCTTCCTTATTTACTTCACAGCTGAGGAAACTGAAGCCAGATTAAGCAATTACCATACTCATCTCTTATCCTCTCCATTCCCTGAATGGTGAAAAATTATTTTATTTCAGAGTTTTCTCTCAGAGCAAATAAATAGTAAACAAGTAACAATGGTATTTCATTAGTTCAATAAATAAACATTCTCATCTCTATATATTAAAAACCAACCCTCAACTGTTATATTAAGCAGTTCAAATGAAAGGTACCCAGCCTGTTTAAGTTGCCTTACGTAAACCTGTGCAGGCACTGGTTAAAACCACAAGGTCAGTCCACAGCCATTCATTTATTCCTCCATCTTTTTATTCAGCCAGCATTCACTGAACACTCACCATACCCCTGATGCTGTGAGGTGCTGGTGATACAAACATTAATAAGACATGGTCCCTCTTCACCATCCAGTGGGGAAGTGAGAAGCTACAAAACAAGTCAGACTAAAATACAAACTAAGTGTGGATGGAACAATTCACTCTGGAGCTTCAGGGGCGGCTTCATTAAGGGGAAGGTTGACATTTGAGTCAGGCCACGTATATGTAAGATTTCAGAAGTTACAGCAAGACCAAAACAAGGAAGTAGTATGTGTGAGGAACTGTTCAGAATTGAGCCCAATCCAAGAAAAGAACATGGGAGAAAACCAGAAATTCAAATGTTTAGCCTGAAGATAAAACTGAGTTCTATCCGTGTGCAAGATAATTTGCCACCCTGTAGGAAGTGCTCAGTAAATAACGTCTGGGTAAATCCTGACCAACTAAGTAATCTCTGTTAAATTTACTGAATGATTTCAGCATATTACCATGTACTGTGCAGGGTCTAAATCTCCCATCATTCCTTTTAGATGTGTGTTTTCAGTTCTGACAGCTTTATATCTCATATCTGAGACCTGAAATGAGATTAGTAATAGATAAAAGTAAATGTAAAATTCATAATAAAAGTTCACAATTCTATTATAATTAATTTTATTTTGTTAATTAAATATTTTCTAAGTGTAGTGAAAGGAAATACTTCTTAGGCATGATTATCATAAATCAGGTATTCTCATTTAGTTCTATTTTTTGTAAGCCACACTTTACCCTTCTTTTCTGATCAGTGCTAAACTAAAAACAGATACAATAATGAATCATTTACTTTTTTCTTTCCAATTCCAAAATTCCTTTTCTTGCTTCTATTTTCTATTGTATTCAAATTATCACCAGA